CCTTCAAGGTTGAAATGTACCCCAACGGGTTCATTGAGTTTGTTTGTCCTAATGGAAGAACGGTGATTATTGACTCTCCTGCGGAGATCTGTTTCACCAACATACTGTTTGGAGCAAACTTTGCAACTGATGAGATAAATGCAGTTGTCTGTTTGACAGGACAAATTCCCTAGTATTTTGTAGCTGCGGCCTGTAACGGGGCTGTTAAAACTGTCTGTGTCAGCGCTGTACTTACAGAGAAGACATCTTCTGTCAGAGCAAGTTTTAAAGCCCCCGTTAGGTAATGGATTGTCCAATCTGGTTCTTACTACCATGTCCTTTAGGTTCCTCGGGCGTCTGTATGCAGCCAATGGGGGCTCCTTAAAGACATCTGCCATTCGTTTATTTGAGTGGAGAATTGGTAGATTCTTTTGAAGGATACCGCTGAGGTTCTTAAGGACGGGATGATATGTGGTTACCAGAGGGACCCTGTCGCTATTGTCTTTTTCCTTGTAGCGTAATAGGTTTTGCCTGTCATGTCCCGCCATCTCATCAATAGCAGTTTGTACGGTGCGGGCATTGTAGCCTCTCTTGCATAAGTGGGACTTAAGGAGACCGCTTTGTTCTTGATATAAGGCAGGGGATGAACAGATGCGCCGAATTCTGGTGGTTAGACCCTTAGGCACACCCTTAAATGTGTGTGGGGGATGACAACTAGTTGGCATAAGATACAGATGGGAATCTGTGGGTTTCGTGTGGAGACTGAACTCGATTTCACCATCAGTCAGGGTAGATGTAGTATCTAGGAATATGTTTTTCGAATTAGATACGTCTACTGTAAATTTGATAGACTGATGAAAGGTGTTGGCAAACGAAATGAATGCCTCGAGGCTCTCGCGACATTCCACCCACTTCATCTCTATATCGTCAACGAAACGCAACCAGCTAAGGGGCCTAAATGGTGCTTGAAGTAGCAAGTTGCGTTCAAGTCTGCCCATGAAAATATTGGCATAAGATGGTGCCATTTTCGTACCCATAGCAGTGCCATTAACCTGCAGGTAATGTTCTCAATTAAACATGAAGTTGTTATACTTGAGAACATGTTCAAGGAGCTTGGCAAGGGACTCGGTAGAAGGAATTTGTATGGATCTACTATCCCAGACTTCTCTACAGGCTTCGATACCCTCATCGTGCGGAATATTGGTGTACAAAGATGTGACGTCCATAGTCACGAGAAGGGTATGATCTGGAAGGCCAGTAGAGGGCGTCTTGTTAATGTAGTCCGTGGTGTCCTTGAGATAGGATGGAAAATTCTCTACGTGTGCTAAATCGTGTAAATCGATGTATTCAGAAATTTTCTCCGTGGGGAGTCCAATAGTGCTAACTATAGGGCGACCTGGCCCTATATAAATTTTCATCCGTGACCTTGTATCTAGTGCTTTATATATATATATATATATATATATATATATATATATATATATATATATATATATATATATATATATATATATATATATATATATATATATATATATATATATATATATACAAAAGATATCTTTAAGTATTGTTTGTATATATATAGTGGGTTATTGCTGATTAGTATGGTCTGTATATAAAATTTCTTACTGTTTGTTCGACAGGTCGTTTTCTTAAGCTTTTCAACCTCTTCTACAAAAAAATGTTTGCAAATGAGAAAAAAATGAATATTCAGTAATTTAAATGTACTTTTTTATTCTTCAAAAAAGTTTGTCAATGCTATGTTTTTGGTAATGGTCATATTTATCGAATATTTAAATATCTTATGTTTCTGGACAGCTATTTTACCTGCAAGATAAAATTGATTTATACATATTATATATATGTAATATTAGATATTTACTTAAGTGTTTGAGAGAAAGTGTGATATGTATTCTTAAACATTTATGTAAATAGACTTATGATTTCTTTATTATGATTTACAAGTCTTGAAGATTATATTTTCTGGTTTACTCTCAAAATTAAGACTGATTAATATTTTGAAATATAAAATATGAAATGGCTTATACATGACTTGTTGGAACTTTATTTCCATTTCCATCTATGTAGGGAAATTTGAGTTTCACAATCAAAATTGTTTAGTGTATCAGACATAAAAAAGCAAATATGACTCACGTTTTGCTGTTCTGGTTTCACTCTCAAGACATTCAATTTTTTCTGTATGAATGAACGAATGAATTAATTTTTAAATTAAAGTTATTAAATATTTTCCTTAAAAAACAATACAATGTCATCATTTACTAAATATAGAAAAACATGTAGTAATAATATGTAGCATTTCTTATTACATGTGAATCTTACATCCATAAAACAGAGACGTTTTCTTTTAATTCTCAATCCAGTATACTGAAATTTTTGCATGACTCATTGATTTAATTAAAACATACCTTGTTTTATCTGCATATTTTCTGTCAAGATAATTGAATGCTATTAAACAAACGTTCGGAAGTTACACAAATGTAAAATGTTTTGTTTTTATTTTACCTTAGATATACATACTACAAGATAATAATACATGTAAATTCATACAAATTCCTAGTCAATACCTTGAATTTTCTTGAATTCTGCAACATACAGCTTTGATCTACCGGGGTTAAGATCACAAGAGAATAACTCGTTTACGCCTCTCTCATACATGTCCCCACCGAGAGACTGTTTTTCAATTTCTATGATGGCGTCTTTGAGTTCGTCCCAGTGCTCTTCAAACATTATGTCATCAACTGCAGCAATGACAGAATGAGCGAAAATTAAATTTCTCTGAATCCTGATCCTTTCTATGCAGGCCGATAATCTATTATCGCCATTTAGAGGTGGATTACCCCACCCGGCTTTATGTTTTGGTATGTTACAGATGTTTCTCAATATGATGTATAGTACAGAGATGTCCAAGTCTTTAGCAGTCAAAGCTGTGGAGCCAGACGCCGGATAGATCTGTTCTTTTTGTTGACTGTTCATGATTCTCTCCAGCCTCTTTCTGTTGTTGTTCAACTCTGACCTCAGGTCAGCCGGTTTGATGTAACGACTTAGAATGTCCCTGAACAAGTCGCTACAGATTGTCACGATCAACTGACACAGTCGGGAGAAATTCTCTGTTGCCTTCCCTTGATTGAAGTAAGGAGCTGTAGATGGCCCAGGGATGTCACCCATTGTTCTTATGAATTAATAAGGAAAAAACATACTTTCGCTATATTTTATAGTAGGATATTGCTTGAAGCTGAATACAATTCGAATAAGAAAATGTTTTATCTTTGTCTAGCTTAATTTACGTTTTTAGGCCCCTATAAAGCCTCAAACCTATTTATGTTCAGTGTATTTTGCTTTAAAAATTCCTTCTGTGCAGGTCTTCTCCATAGCCATTCCTATCAACAAAGCGACGAAAAATTACTTAAATATTATATGAACATGCGTTTGCAACAGGAGGAAAAATAATCCTTTGTACATCTATTGGATTTTTGTGAAAACCGCTGAGTCTAATAAATAAATAGAAGCTTTTTTGTGACCTAAACATTAGAATACTGATTATTGATTAAAAGATGAATACTGATTATTGATTAAAAGATTGGCAAGATCCCAAGTTTAAGGAGTTTTGTAGATATTTCAGCTAAATACTACATGAAATTATTGAGGTATATCTAACAACAAAATTGATTTATCAATCTTGTGCACACTTTTATCACGATACAAGGACCTTCATTCGAATCTTTATTCACCTCTGAAATTATATGATTATTGCGTTTAATTTTCCCTATTTTAATCTTTGGCAAAATAAGCATGATAATTGTCTTAATAAATAAACGCTGATTAAAACTTGAACGCAATGCTTCCTTATGCAAAACTTTTTTTCTTAAAAAAATATATGTCATACAAACGACAGATTATATTTACACATTTCTTATCAATAGTTAAACCACCTGAAATCTATTCACATAACATGTATTTATAGCATTTTTCTTTAAGAAATGATCATTTTTCTAATCGGTAGGTTCAGATATTCATTTAAAAAAAGGACAGAAAAGTATAATGTTGCAAGTGTCCTGAAAGAAATAATATTATTATATTTATAAAGATATTCTCTATATAAAGAAATAGTCAGCATATTTGCTATTAGCTCCTCCGAAAAATATTGACGGTCATTTAGTTTTTACTATTGACCAGCAAAGAAAGTTTTCCCACATGATAAATAGAATGATTTATTGTGACGTAATGATGGCCGTCGCAACAATCAAAAACAAAACCTCGCAATAAAAAACACACTCATAACACAATCATAAAACACAATCATAACACAATCATAAAAACATAAAAAGATAAGCTACAAGGTACCACTATAATCAAAGAGCAGGTTATTCATTGCAAAAAAGAGTTGCTGAATGTAACTGAATGAAATAAAAATACAATTTGTGATTTGCTTTTATATAACAAACCATTTTTTGACCGTGATTTCGGGCCAAATTACGTTTCGCGTTTTTGCGGCGGGAAATATATCATAACTTTGGGCTTATGTAATCAGTGTTGCCCTCAACCCCAGTCAATATTTATATATCATTTAAATAGTGTTAACAAACGTGTAGTTTGCGTTATTCATGACCGAATGCACACAAGTAGATATGAACACGTGGATAGTTTATACAACACTCCACGTAATAAAATCGACTTATTAGCATACCCTAAAAACTTGACAGATATACCTTAAACTTATGCCGTCAGCTTTATCAATAAACACATGAAACATATAAAAACTTAAATTATTGAGTTTCCCAATGAAATTTTATTACAAACAGGTATTTTATTACGCTGAATCGGCGTAGCTTACACCTAAACCCCTCAAGCGCTTAGGCAACCTTCTTGAGTCTGAAATTCTGACAACTTCTTGTCAGTGGATAGTCTTTTCTATGGACTTCTTAGAAGAAGACTTCGAGTTTATTGTGTGTGTTTTCTTTGTCAAGTTTTAGGATGTTTTCATATGAAGATTTTAGTCGCGGGGCTGTCGATTGTAGAAGTCACGCTGGATCTGACATATATTTTCAGGATGAGTGATTTAAGTAAATGGAAGATTATTATCAATTCAGTGCCGTCTCCATACGTAAAAGTCAGCGCTCCTCGCAAAGTCCAATTATGGGTCAACGTTAACGATATTAAATGAATTTGTGACACTGTATACTTTATTTTATATGCAATATTTTGTGCTTCATTTCATTATAAATCACATATTTGAACATATCCCTTTTTATATTAAAACAAAAAAAAGTTGTTACAAACACCTACTCAGATCAGACTCTAATCACTAAAAAAATAATAAATAAAAAGGTCACTTGCTTAAGAACTTAGAAAGACTTACTAAGCAATATTACAATAATCAATCTAATGCTGACAGAATGTTAATCATGATATTCAATCTACCGTGGCATTTCTTTTAATGCTGTTAAGAAATTATATTAAAACTTTACTTACCCGTCCTTCTTCCTGGTACCCTATCCTGCATTGAGTTTTGCACATTTTATGTCTTACACAAAGCCTTTCTTTAACAAATCGAAAGTTCGGATATACCATGTACTAAATGGCCAAATATAATAGACACATATATGATGGAAATACCCAACTTATTTGAACTTCATTCAATTGGTATACCTTTGAAATCTGAGTTACTTTGTGTCACGCCCAACACCATGTTTTTGCTTTCAGAGACTACTAACATAAGGTTGTAATCAAAACCAATAAACAAGAAAGACTCAGACAAGTTAAAAAACCCTTTTGAAAAAACTTGATGCAGAGCGAACTATAAAATGAGTAACAAGGCAGTTTCCGGCGGAGAAATATGTCGGCCTGATGCGTATTCCTCCACCAATCACATCCGAGGTTTGTATGGAGCATAGGGGAGTAACCCGAGGATTGCCGATTGGGAAATACCCCCAAATGTGAATGCTCATTCTGTAGTTGCATGAGATTATTCACTATTTTTTATGCCCCCGTAATCGAAGATTCGGGGGCATATAGTATTTGCCATGTCCGTCCGTCTGTCAGTCTGACTGTCTTTTTGTCTGTTACATGTAATCTGTGTGTAAGTCCAAAAAAAAAACTTTAACCTTGCACATAACTTTTGATTAGTTGAGGCTATGGCTTTCATATTTCACATGTGTATTCCTTGTGACAAGAATTTTCTTTGGGTATCATTCAATTTGACCTTTTGACCTTGACCTTGGAGTCTGATCCGATTTTGCAAAATTTTACTTAACTTTAACATTGGCAATAACTTTTGAACAGTTGGTACTAGGGCTTATGTTCTCTTTCGCTTCGCTCAGCCAAACATAAATTATTTCCTATTCTTTTTACATAAATAAAAACTCAAACACAAATATAGGAGGAGGCGACAATGTTAGCCAGATTTAATAAAACAGATTTGTACAAAAATAAACGCGTCCATTGGTGCATCTTTACAGGCCGGTTTGGAGGATATAGCACATAGTCAAGCACAGGATTAGTCCTTAAAATGCAATGGAACTCCAGGCTAGGAATCGGATCAAACTTAAATGAAACTAAACAGCAATCTACAAAAGAATTCTGCTTGATTATTATATCAAAGAAAAAAATTCGGAAAACTAATAGGTCGTGGCTAACTTGTCGAATGACAATAGAACTAAAAGCACGAGTTTAAATACCCTTAGACCGAATTACTACCTGCCGCAAAATAGACCCCAAAGTGATTTAAATTAAAATAGCATATAATAGATATGAAAAGAAAGCATCGATAAGATACTTACTGACCGGATAACCGAATCGATACACCCTCCGTCCCTCGCACCAAAGCAACCAGGTTCGACCCCCCAGAACACCAACCAATTTTTTATTATTTTTTAATGTAACCGAAAAGAAATTTATTTATGTTCTCTTTCGCTTCGCTCAGCCGAACATAAATTATTTCCTATTCTTTTTACATAAATAAAAACTCAAACACAAATATAGGAGGAGGCGACAATGTTAGCCACATTCGAATAAAAATGTCTGAGAAAAAAATGTAAAGAAAAGATCATTTAATTACAATCCCAAATTTTTTGACACAAATAGAACCTTCTCTGTACTGTCCTTAACATAACCATTCTTTGCTGTTTCGTTCTTCCACCTTCATGAGCCTTAAATAGTCTGTCAGGGATGTCTAAATTGGCTGCGGCTGTCGCGCCTCCAGATCTAAGTGAATGTACACCGAACTTTGACGCATCCTCCCCAACATCTTGCAATGATTTCAAAATAAGTTCTCTAACACAAGTATAAGATATGGCTTTGTTACTTTTAGCAAGCTTATGAGAATCACATTTTTTGAAATATCTTAATGACCTAAATATAAATTCATCAGAATCTTTCTGAATACCAGCCAATCTAAGATGATCAATTAGACACTGAACAGGACACAAAGCAGAGTTAAGTTTTGCTATATGCACAATGTTACCCCTTCTGTAAATATCAGTCTTGGAACTTCTTAGTTACGTGTCCGATCTCTTAATGTTGCATAGCTCTCTGGCCCTAAAAATCCTGCATATCCAAGAACAAACAGTAATCTAATATGTAAATCAGATAAATCAGACATATTACTCTTTAAGCTGAAACTTTGGAAATAATATTAGATGTTATCGGTTGCTTCTTGTTCACTGAAGTTTTTGAAAGAGTACGCAAAGCTCCTTCAAAAGTCATTTTCACATGTTTGTCAATACACGGGTTTGGAAACAAATTTTTCTCGTGATACCATTGCACTGCATAAAAAATGGAAGTAAGCACTGAAGATGTCGATTTACTCTGAACAAGATGAGAAATGAAGAGAGAAACTGTTGCAGGCGATGCTGGTAAAGAAGATATATTGTGAAGTGAACACCAGTATTCGAATTTAGCAAAATAAGTCTTGTATTTACGTAAAGTGGACTTTGATTTTGACGCCTCGATTAAACGTGGTATATTTCCAGCCAGCGTAGCAATGTCCCCCTCTTCATGAGTTCTCAATTCCGCCCAGTGTGAATGGTTGAAGAACTGAAACCATAAACAATAAAACATAAAGGAATAAAATTTTAATTTTTTTTTTAATGCCTTAACCAACATGCATATAAAACTTCCATTTTTGGCTCTTAAGCCATTCAATCACAAATATCAGGCTCTCAGCCTACAAAACATAAGTAGATCCTGGCTCTCAGCCAATTATTACACATATCAGGCTCTCAGCCAATTATTACACAAATCAGGCTCTCAGCCAATCATTACACATATCAGGCTCTCAGCCAACCATAACACATATCAGGCTCTCAGCCTTAAAATGCAAAAAGAAAAATCAGTCCCGACTCCCAGCAGAAAATAACACATAAATGTCTCACCATTAGAACATAAAAACAAATGCGTCTGAATAAGTCTAACTATCAAAATTAACATTAAGTACTATAACGTTCGAGAAAAATTTCACGCCGGCAAAAACACTTTCTTTGTAAGATCCTGCAATGAAAAAATTTCTTGGCTTGTCATATTCAACATAGTCAATCACAAAATTTTTGAATTCTCCATCCACATTTACCAGCATAGGCCAAAAAAGAGACGATGTCCACTTTGGCACAATAAGTGTTCCATGCGCTTTACACAAACTTAAATGATTAATAACATCTGGAATAAGAGAAACTGGGGGAACGATCCAAGAGTTAAAATATTTCCAATTAAAGGCAAACGCATCAACCTCAGAACTCCCCGGCGTCCAAAATTTAATGAAAAACTTTTTTACCTTAAAATTGTTACAATCTGCAAAAAGGTCTACATCATATGGTCCCCATTTTTTACTAAAAAATTGAAAAATGATATCAGAAACAGACCAGTCATCAAAATCAAATACTTTGCTATAATAATCGGCAACTCTATTTTCATCTCTCGGAATCCACTCTACTTCTAGTGTTATTTGATTTTGAATACATAAAGAAAAAATATTAAGTGCGATGTTATGAAGATCTTTTTTCATGCTACCTGAATTAACTATTTTAACTACATTTTGATTGTCAGTATAAAGCTTTACAGTTCTGTTGCTAATCTTATCTGCAGAAGAAATTAAAGTTGTCTCAACTGCTTTCATCTCCCTCCAGGTAGAACTCTTCAGAGCTTCCACAGAAGTCCACATTTTATGCACTACACTATCTGCGAATTCCACAATGTAACCAGCGGCTGCGTACTTGCTTGCATCCGTATAAACAATCCTTTGTGGAATGAAACTGCCAGTTTAGGTTCTTTGATTATCTGTGGAGGGTCCGGTTTGTGTTGAAGTTGGCTTCCCGATCGCGAAGGGTTGACTCTTTTTCTTGAGTGGACAGTTGACACTCCAGTGCCCAAACCCGTTGCAATACAGGCACTGGTTTGGTTGTATTCTGTAGGGGCTAGACTGAGGTCCTCCATAATTCCCGTATGTGCCAAACTGCCTGGTGTAAGGAGTAAATCTTTGCTGGAAAAATTTGCTATCTGCACGAAAAGGATTATTATAATTTCTCTTATCAAACCTTTTCCTTTTAGCCCTGGTTTCTGCTTGACGAAGTCTTTGACTTTCTTCGGAACTCTCCGTAATTGGATCATCCATATACTCTTTGGCCACATCCCCACCGTACTTATCTGCAATTCTGATAACTTTTTTCTGGTCTTTAATACGAAGAACAGCTTTTTTGATTATTTCTTTAGCATTCAAAACATCACCATAGTCAATATATTTGTCTATACTTTCAAAGTCACTTTGTAAATCTGTTAAAAAGTTATACCTTTCTTTGTGATGCTCCAACTTGAAATCAACAGAATTTTCTTTGGAAAAACTGGTTGATTTTTTGGCCTCTAATTCCTTTAAAAGCAGCTTTTTGTTTTCAGCTAAAGCTGCGTCCAACTTACAGGAGAACAACTGGAATGCTTCAGCGTTAGTAAGGTTCTCAGTCAAAGTTTGCGAACGGTAATCCTGAGCACGGCTAAACTCATTGCTGTTGAACATACGTCAGTTTTGCTCGGGAAGAACACTTATCCCCGGGCTACCACATGGAGATTGCTCGCTCCCGTCTGAATCGGACATCTGTAGATCTAACTTATAGGTCGTGGCTAACTTGTCGAATGACAATAGAACTAAAAGCACGAGTTTAAATACCCTTAGACCGAATTACTACCTGCCGCAAAATAGACCCCAAAGTGATTTAAATTAAAATAGCATATAATAGATATGAAAAGAAAGTATCGATAAGATACTTACTGACCGGATAGCCGAATCGATACACCCACCGCCCCTAGCACCAAAGCAACCAGGTTCGACCCCCCAGAACACCAACCAATTTTTATTATTTTTTTTTTAATGTAACCGAAAAGAAATTTATTTTCATTCTTCACATATGTAATCTTTGTGACTAGACCTTCAATTAGTTATCAACAACTTTGACCCTTTGACCTCGACTTAGGAGTTTGACCTACTTAAAAAAAACTTTAACCTTGGCCATAACTTTAGAACGGTTAGAGATAGGACTTTCGTACTTCACATATGTAATCCTTGTTGCAAGACATTCCTTTAAATACCGTCAACTCTGACCCTCGACTTAGGAGTTTGACCTACTTTTAAAAATCATAAACTTTGTCCATAACTTTTGAACGGTTAGGACTAGGGCTTTCATATTTCGCATATGTAATCCTTGTGACAAGACCTTCCTTAAGATAGTAACAACTTTGACCCTTTGACCTTGGAGTTTGAACTACGTTTTAAAAACTTTAACTTTGGCCCTATTTTTTGAACGGTTAGGGTTAGGGCTTTTGTACTTCACATATGTAATCCTTGTGACTAAACCTTCCTTTAGATACAAACAACTTTGACTCTTTTACCTTGACCTTGGAGTTTGACCTACTTTTAAAAAAGTTTAAACTTGGCCATAACTTTTGAACAGATGGTGCGAGGACTTTAATTTTTCACAAGTGTATTGCTTGTGATAAGACCTTACTTAGGGTACTAATATATTTTATTTGCTTTTAAGAAAGTTAAACCTTCGCTATTAGTTGCCATACGGGGGCATCAGTGTTTCACGAACACATCTTGGTTTTTTTATGTATATAATGGACTTAAGTATAGGTATGGAAGCAAATGGAACTAATGAAAAGTGAACATAGGACAAAAGTTATGAGACTATCCTTATATCTCCACTTTTCAGAATTGTTTCAACAAAGAGCTATTTACAAAACTAATTGTATGTCTCTCAATATTCATTACCTATACGTTGGTTATGGAGATTCAAGTACAAAGGGTATATGTAGGATATCTTTCCCAGCATAACTTTTCTACGACTTTGAATTATATTAGTACAGTGCCTGTAGGAATATTGTAATTTCTTTGCTGATATGTATGTATTGTAATATCATTTATTTTTGTTGGGTTAAATTTTGTAAAAACTGAAAAGAGATTTTGAAGAATTTGATGTTTTGAAATTGTTTATTTCCATATGTAGAAGTAAAAGCAAATGCAGTTGTAATAATGCGCCTTACCAAAAAAGTCTGCATCTTTTAAAAGCTTTGTCAGCGTTTTAAAATGTATTATCATTTAGCAAGTCGACAGCAATTTCTTAAAATAACAAACTAGATATAAAACAAGTTCATATCGGTAAATGACATAAATAATTTGTATAATATATCCGCAAAAGTTTATAATTCCTGAACACATCGTATGAATTCAGCTTTTCTACAAGCACTTTAATTTACCTGATCATTCTATTTTGTCAATGAAAGTTAACTGTTGGAATTCTCGAAAAGATTTACCATCATACAAACAGTCCACCACTGAGTACACCTTTCCGTAGACAACGAGAAGAATTTTGGATTAGAAAACTAGGGACGGCCTTTTCGTATGGATGCAATGATAATGTCGATAGTGTTGGGAATCTTTCCAATCCACAGTGTAACAATGTTAATGTGGTGGGACTTCTTAACCATACACAGAGACGTAAACGTAGTCATGGACATTTGTCATACAATAAACCTTAAACACACGATGACTCCTTTGATTCATTACTACCTTATGTAAATCAACAGTTAGGTCTTCATCACATTCGCACCAAACTTTACTCTGTCCCTTCGAAACCTTTGAAAAGTCTTCTTGAAAACGTCAAAGAAAGTCAAAGAAAGTCTATTTTTTGATTTCTCGACACCAGAATACAGGCTCGGATCTGTGATTATGTATATTGCAAATCATAAGCTTTTTAAACCGCCACGTCTTACAGAAGAAAATGCAGCTAAAACAACCCTTTTTTTCCCTTAAACTTCAATATCCCAGCAAAGGAATTGACGCGGTTAATATAAGTAATATTCTTAATCACAAAAGGGTCTAGTCTTGTATTCCACCATATTTCAAGTTAAAGGCTACACCTTGTTTTTCCTATAAATATACATCGACTATTGCTTCCAAATTCTTTAATTACAAGAAAACTGGATATCGAATATCTGAAACAAAACCCCCCTTCATGCTCATGTTCTTCTTCACCCAACAACTATAGTCCTGTTGGACACGTTATTACTGGTGACGTAAATAGAGTTAATAATGAGAACCTTAGATCAATAATTTTAAAATGTCCTAAGTAAAGGGAACCCCGATCCTTCAACTGGCATCGTAATTTCATAAATATTATGGATTATGTAGAAGTCTACGCCAGGCGATGGGCCAGATATGAAAAAGAAGACCTTGAAACTTTGTCAGAATGGATTAAGTGTATCAGATGTATGCTAAAATCACGCATTAAGCGATTGAGGGGCAATATGAAAACCATCTATCCTTCTGTATTCAGTAATTCAGAAGTGACCAAAAAAAAAAAAAAAAAGAATGAGATAGATTACACGATCTCTACGTACTGGTCCCTGCTGACAAAGCAGGTAACAACTTTGTCTTTGTTTGTAAGGCTCATTATATAACATGTATTTTAGAGGAACTTGGATTAAATTCTACGAGTGGTAATCCAACTTATATTCATAACTCCCTTTATAAGGAGGGGATTTTTCAAAATCATATGTCAGTTTTGAATATTTTTAATATTCCCAAAAACAAAAATGAATTTGAATTATCATATCTATATTGGATTCGGAAACTTCATAAAAGTCCTTACAAACAAAGATATATAGAGGGTTCCAGTAAATGTTCTACCAATCCTCTTTCTTTTCTCCTCACTAAGATATTAACAGTAGTGAAGGAGAAACTTCAAGAGTACTGTGCAATAATATATTCGAAAAGTGATGTAAATCAGATGTGGATACTTAAAAATTCCAAGGAACTTTTGGAACATTTGAAATCTCAAAATTTTACCAGAATCAACAACATAAAAACATACGACTTTTCAACTTTATATACAACTATTTCCCACGATAATTAAAGTCCAGGCTTTTTGATATCATTGACAGCTGCTTTTTCAATAAAAATGAAATTCGGATATTTACTTACCTTGTAATTGGTCTTTTGCAAAATTACTTTGTTAAAAAACATTCTGATTGTACACACAAGTACTCTGAAATTGTATTAAAAAATGGTCGAGTTTCTGATTGACAATATCTATGTGGTTTTTGGAGACCAGGTCTTCCATCAATCTATTGGAAATACCCATAGACACCAATTGCGCCCCGTTATTAGCAGACCTATTTTTGTATTCATATCAAGCAGAATTTGTTCAAAATCTAATACGTGAAAAGAAGAAAACATTTGCTGTGGGCTTCAACCCGACATTTAGATATATCGACGACGTATTGTCAATTAACCCTTATCACCTGCATACGGAGTTTATATCTCTCAGTTGATTCGATTCGGAATAGCATGTTTTACGTATGAACAATTTCTAAAACGAGGTAAGCTCACTACTCCATGGCACCTGATCCCACCTCTGATGTTTTGGAGGTTCGTGTTTGCTCTGCTCCTATTTTGTAAAGTTTAATGGACTTTTGAGCTCGAATACTGTTCGTTATCTTCACATATTTCATTCAATGATTTGTTTGTTAGGATGTCCAATGTCCCTTCTAGAATTTTCCCTCATATTGAGACGCCGCCACTTGCCGATGGAGGGCTGTAAATTTAGTTCTGTCCTCGGCACTTAGGGCCTTTAAGCAGTGAGTGTTCTTTTTTGTGCCAGCACCTACTGCGACAGAGGACCTCGTTTATATTGTTTCATCCGAAGGATGGATAATAATACCATGTATATAAAATCTAAAAAAAATAAGATGTTAGATCCTCTCATATACTCGGATATGCGAGCGCATCTTACATCTTTTTTTAATTAAATTGATGATTATATAAAAGGTGGCATCATTAGTTTCTTTATGATATGATTGGAATTGTACTAAGGTATCCTATATACAGTATAATAAATTTTGATTTTTGAAAGGGAAAATATAGGGATATGCGGATTTGGGAGATATGTTCATGTACAAACAATACTCACCTTAATAGCTTAGATTTAAAAAATAAAAGTAACAGTATACAAGGCGTAGAATAGTTTGATTTTAGTTGATTCAAAATATCTCAGTGAACTTGAGATAAAAGATACCACAGAGAATGGCACATCTGTTTCTTATATAGATATTTTATTAGAAAAGGACGTAAATGGTAGCCTAACAAGAAAACTTTTTGAAAAACAAAATGACTTCAACTTTTCCATCGTCAACTTCCCTTATTTATATAGCAATACGCCCTTAAATCCTGCATATGGAGCTAATGACTCCCAGTTGATTTGATACGCAAGAGTTTGCTCTACGAACAAAAACATTCCTAAATTGAGGCAAGCTATTGAGGAACTAGTTGCTACGCTCCCAGTTTGTACTCTTCCAATTACTGTTCATTATTTCCGTATTTCACACCAATAAAAGCAAAACTGTTAATAAAATCTAAATCTCCAGTAACATTTGAGATGATATATTTTCTACACTTTAAATGGTTATTCTCTTTGTAATAAACTAAATAGGCGTCCCTTTTGTATTTAGATGAGATTTAGT